GTGGTGGTGTCAATTCAGGTGGGGGAGGATGCGAGGGGGCCAGTACTGCAGTACTAGGAGGAGGCAGGATAGATGAACGGTGGGCGCATTGGGGAAGGCGCAGCACCACCACGGCAGTGGGCGATCTTCCCACACTCTGCACCACATGTTCAGCCACAATTGTAGACTTTCCAACAGCAAAAATGAAGTTGTGGTTGGAGCGTGGGTACGTGTGAACCGCCATGGGATTTGCAGTTGGGGGTAGGGGCCTCTGGGGCGGCGGCGCAAGGCACCGATTACCCCACGTGTGTGACGAGCGGGAGTAGGGGTGGGTTTAGGGGCAGGGGTAGGGGTCGGCACAAGAGGTCGGGGCTCTGCAGAACCGGGCGCCGCGCCACACGCGACGAGGTGGCGTTGATGCTTCCCTGGTGCTACCCCTGGCGTGTGTGGCGCGGCGCGGCGCGGCGCCTGTGCCCTCGGACACCCTCTTGCTCGTGCTCGCACATCGCCAGCCCCCAAACATGCTCCCAATCGCACAACCCCAGGCCCCCGCCAGCCCCAGCATCCCGCCGCCCCCCAGCCGCCTCCATGCGACCCGGGATCGGCCGCCGCAGCCCTCACTCCCAGCGTCCAGCAGTGGTGTAGCCCCGGCCGACCTCCCACTCAAAAGCCCTGGCTCACACCCCCATCCAAAGTCCAGGACGCACGGCGTCCCTGACGTGCCGGCTGGCTCCAAGCACTCAATCCTTTAACGCCCAACAGACAAAATAAACAACCCCGGCCGACCCAAAACAAACGTCCAATCGCTAGCCCCCCCCCCACCCCCGGCAAAAGCACCCACCCTCAGCACGTCCCTGCCCGCGTAGCCCCTGCTGATGTCATCGTCTGGGTCGGGGCAGCAGTAGGCGCCGTTCGCGATGCACTGGCTGTCGCACTCCTCCTGGTTGGACCCCGGCTGGCACACCCAGATCAGGTAGTGCGGGTGGAAGTCCACCAGACCCTGGAGCGCCCGGGGGTTGTATCTGGTCAGGCTCGGATCTCAAACGCGTCAGGGCACATGCTGGATCATCCCGATCTCAGGGTTGAGTCTTGCGGGCTGCAGAGGGTCGCACGAACAATTGCACGCACGCACGCGCGCCGCACCGCGCACGCCGGCGAGAGCTTTGGCGCGGCTCCGCCTGCGGATCTCCAGACCGCCCCCCGGCCCCCGCCTGCACACCTTGATCTGCAGCAGCTTCCCGATCGATTTGAACGACTTGATGAAGCTGCGCTGCGCGTCACACGCCGCGCCGCAGAAGTCGTTGCTGTTGGTCCAAAACTCCCAGTGGACCTGTTTGTTTTGGGGGGGCAGGTTGGGGTGGGATCCAGGGGCTGGGCCCAGCCCCAGGTGCTTTGAGGGTCCCCCGCGCCGCCGAAAAAAAAAAAAAAGCCCGAAAGAATTGCAAAGAGCGGCGCACTGCTTTTTGCACCCGCAGCCGCCCCGACCCCTCTCGCCCAGCGTGTCGCCACAACCGCCCCACACAATCGCCCCCCCCCCTGCGTGCGACGGTGCCCGATTCACTCCTTGCCGGCGCTGCCCCGCCCTGATAGCCCCAGCCCCAGCAGCGCCGCGCGAGTGGCCCCTACCTTGCTCTGTTTTGGCAGCACGTCTGTCCAGTTTAGGGCTATGCTGACTGGGCCGTGTCTCAGCAGGTCCTTGAGGGCGGCGCCATCCTCCTGGCTGATGAGGCCGGCGCTGAGGGTGAGATCACCCAGCAGGCTGGGAGCAGGGCGGGGGGGGGGGCGGTGGGAGCGTGGTCGGGTTGAGTAGGGACGGTGAGCAATGGCGTGTGCGTGCAAAGGTGCGTTTAGGTTTTGTGTCTGTGGGTGTTGGTGGGTGTGCGCGCCTGCAAGCCGTGCAAGTGTGCGTACTTGTGGTGTGTGCGCGTTCGTGCGTGCGTGTGTGCGCGTGCACCTACTCGCAGCGAGGCACGCACACACACACACACCCGCGCGTGCTTTTGCGCGAGCTTTTTGCATGAGGGTCTACCTGTGAATGCAGGCAGCGGGGTGCACCTACGCAATAACAGCTGGCTGCCACAATCACAGCTCAACTTGCCCGGGCCCCACCATGCACCCTGCCCCGCACGCCGCAAGCACTTAGCACACGCATCTCTTCGGCACCGACCCTGCACAGGGGCGCCTCTCCGAAGCCACAGCCCCTCCCCCAGCCCATCGCAGCCTCAGATTTCGAGCCCCAACGGGCAAGATCCCGAGCCCAGCTTGACCGACCGATGGTCAGCCTGCCCACCCCTTGTGGCTGTGGCGTAGCCGGCCCAAGGCACCCCTAGGGGTGGGGGAACCTTCCCCCATGACTCACCGCGCGGCGCCCTCGTCGTCCCTCGGCGACACCGCAGTGCTCAGCTCGCCCCCGCGGTCGTTCACCACCAACACCGCGTCCGCCCCCGCCTGCTGCGCGTGCCACGCCTTGTCCACGAAAAAGCAGGGCCGCGGCAGCCGCGACGCCTCGGCGTCGCCTGCGTGGCGCGGAACGCGGAGTGGGGCGGGGCGTTGGGCGTTGGGCGGGGCGGCAGGGGTCAAGCGGTGGGCGGGAGTGAGGCTGGGGGGGCTGAAGGCTGCCAGCGCCGCCGCGGCACTCGTCGGGGCGCCCTGTCCGCCCCTTGTGCTGTTTCTGGTGATGGCGGCGCAGAGTGTGGCTCCCCCGGCCCCCAACCGCCGCCCCTCTGCGGGGCTGCCCCGCGGGCCTTCCTTCAGGAGAGAGCGCGCATGGGCGCTCACGGGGCCCCCTGTCCAGCAACATTATGCAGCGCCTGCCAGGCTCCCGCTCGAGGACGAGCGGCGGCATGCTCTCCTGCGCGCGGGGGTGTGTTCGCGGCGTGGCGAAGGCGAGCGGCCGGCGGCGTGCATTAGCAAAAAGCGCCTTACCGACGACCCACGCCTGACACCTAGCACCAAAGTCATGGATCCTTGATTTGTGTAAACGTGGTGTACATCAGCACATGCCCCCCCCTGAAAACCCTTTCCCAGGGTGCTCACGTTGAATGGCATGCAACCGTAGTGGCAGCCGGCTGGGGAGCACTGCGCCGGCCAGCCGTAAGCGGGGTCTTGGTGGGGGTACACGAGCTGCCCTCTGCGAGCGCGCGGCGGCAGAGGTGTGCGGCTGAACTGATCGCTCCAGCTATGCAGCAGCCAACTGGGAGTCGTGCACGCGGTATGGCCATATCGCCGCGCGGTTTGTGCCGGCTGCGGCAGACGTGCGGCAGGCGGCTGGGCGCTGCGTGCTCAGGCGGCTGCTGCTGCTGCCGGCACGAGCACGCCGTCGGCCACTGACCTCAAAGTTCCTCCATATCGCGGCCTCCCGAAGTTTGCCATGGCGACATCCATCCTGCGGCAAGGCAGACGGGATGCGCGCCCAGTGCTCGCGCCCAATCGTGCTGATTGTGCAGGGTGACGTCACCTCTGAGTGTGCCGCGGCGTGACGGAGAGACGCCGCCTCGCGTCAGGGCGGCTCGGCGGCCCTGGCGGCGTGGCTGGGTGCGCCGGCTTAAGCCACAGGGGCTCTTTCATTGATAAGCGGCCCACCTCGCGAGACTGCCCCTTGGCGCCATGACTTTCGCTGCGGCACTCTCGATGTTGAAGACCGCACTCGCCCAGCTGGCTGACACGATGAGAGTCAGAAAGACGACATTTGACTTCACGCATGCGCCGTGGGCTGTCATCCTGGGAAGCACTCTGGAGATTGATCTCAACGGCGAGTGCAAATCCTGTGCATTTTTAGCATCGAAAGCGCACGGTGCTAGTTTTTACTTCTACTGATGTTGGTAATGCAAACAGGGCATCGTCGAAATACGATAGTCGCTGCCTGATCCGGGCTGCTTCCAGGTGCCGAGCGGGATGAAGCATCAGGACGCCGTTGATGTAGTGGAACCAAGCGCACTCATCAGCGTGGACCTCAACCCATCGAGCGGCGTACCTGCCAGTGCGGCACCCATGGCCCCAGAGGGCACGGCAGCGCTGCTGTTTGACGACCTAAACCCGCTGGCGCCGACAAAGGAAACGGCCCCGGTGCTGGAACAAACGGCGGCCGCAGATCCGCAAGCACCGCCCCCTGCACAGCCTCGGACTGCCCCGCTACAGAACTCCTTTGAAGGTGACGAGGGAGCGGTAGCGCTCCGGCCCGGATCAAAAATTGAAAGTCGTACAGGGTCATGGCAGCTTTTACCACACGGCGCTCGCTGCCGTGGGGGTGCGACGGGCGCCGCCCTTGCAAGCACGCAGCGCCCCCACATGGCCCAGCAGCCTGCCGCGACAAATGCGAGCCCATGCCAGTGCTCCTCGTTCCACCGTAGCATCCATACCTCGGCCCTTCGACCCCGAAAAACATACTCACGTCGCCGCCTGCGCACCCAAACCCTGCCAAAACCTGCCTCCGGCTCTGACCTACAAGCCCTCAAGCTGGGATCATGGCGGGTCGCCACCCTGATCAAGCAGCGTGCAGAGGCGCTAGCAGCCGCGCCGGCCGCAGCGACCGCATCGGCGCCGCCGGCGGCGCCGGAGGCCGGGGCTCCGCAGGAGGGCGGCGGCGAAGCGCAGGGCGCCACACATGCGGGCGCGGCGGGGGCAGCGGCGGGCGGCGGCACAGCGATCGCGCGGATCCGCGCGA